TTTCCTTCCTTCCTTCCTTCCTTCCTTCTTTCCTTCCTTCCTTCCTTCCTTCCTTCCATAGTTTTCATATTAAAAGGCTATAAATGTGATATCAAACTTTTTTTTAATAAACTGGCTATATTGAGCTTGAAAGACTAGAAGTAGAATGTGTTGATACTGTGACTGCTACTTTCCCTTATTGAAAAACAAATTATAAATTGTCTAAGGGAACAAAATTGTTGTATTAATAATATAATTAGCATCATTACTTTAAGTGAAGTTTAACACTGTTAAAGCCCTTAAAGGGTTATATTATTAAAGTACTGCAGTGTTTTTTGTTGTTTTTTTGTTGTTTTTTTTTCCCAGAAGAGTGTCATAGTACTGTAACTGAACTAGTTTCCAGTAAATCTGAATTTAGTTTTTCCAGGGATTTTTGGCAGAATGAATGTTAGTAACAGAGACCCTCAGCAGCTAAACTGATGTTCCTTTTAGCTTAAGACTGCACATACACACATGCATTGGTTTAAATGAGCATCACTGAGCAAACATGGATCTGTGGGGTCCAACAACTACACGTATACTGTAGCAGCTAGAGGAAAAAAGAACAAGAAATGACTTCATAGTGCTTCTTTCCCTGAAACTCCAGCTGGCCTTTTCAGGCAAGTTGCTTCAGGGTTGTCGTTCAGTTCTGTCAGATCGCTGTAAATGAATGCTTGTGATGGAGAGAAGAGGGGCAGAATAGAGAGAAATCTGCATATATACCTTATGGCGAGTGTATGAATAATTTATTAAAGTAGCACTTTAGTATGCAGTGCCACATATTGGCAGCCCAGACAGTGAGGACAGTCATTAGAGCTTTTCAGTAACCACAGTTCCCTAATCTGTGAACTGTTAATTATCAACAAAATATACTCCCTTTTTGGTTTAATGTTCATAACTTGCACTTTGCTTTTTTTTTTTTGTATAATAAATTCTACAATTTTTAAAAGTTAAAAGTCAATAAATAGAAGGTAAAGAAAAGGGACTCTAGAAAAACTAGAAGTTTAACTTTTGCAATACTGTTAAGCACTTAATTATCATTCTTTCTATGTTTATACACTGGAATAGAAATTTAAATGTTATAAAGTGTAGGTATACTATTCTATCTATTATATTGTATTATATTATATTGTAATAGATTATCATATATTACGTTATTGTATTATGTTTATGAAAAGGTGTATTAAACATACTTTTCATCATCTGTGCATCTCTGTCATACACATGTTCTGTCTTGGTCTAATGTAATAGTCATTGTTCATTGGTTTTGGGTAGAAAAATCTTTATTAACAACTTAAGTTTCGGAAGTTACTGAAGTATATTATATCTAGGGCTGAAACAATTTATAGAATTAATCATGTTATACTATCATGGAAAATAATGCTTTAATTTAGTTATCAATTCATCTTTAAATAGAGCTTACACACTTTCATTGGATGATAGAGCAACCCACTAAACAAATGATGTTTCATAATGCTCCATCCGAAATTTCTCCATTGGCCTAGTTGTAGCTTCATCTGGTTTAAAGTCTGTATAGAATCTTTTTTAGGGAAACCTTTGTTGTGTGTTTATTAATCAATTAATCATCTACAGATAAAATAGTCATTTATTGCAGTCCTATAAACAATTAAGAGCCTGCCGTATTTGAATAATTCTTTCCTGAAATGGTTCACATGAATTAAAAGGTCAAGTAAAGCAATTTTTTTTCATTTGCTTTATTTGTGCATGTTTAGTGACCTATTTTCAAATAAATTTATTATTTTTGTTTGATGCCATACTTTTTGTTTGGTATTAAATATTCACCAGAGAAAAAAAGATATTGTCCAAAAATCTTTCCCGCCCTTTTAAACGTATTTTTAGCTCGCAGCTCTAGGAGCAGCAGGGGAATTATAGTTCCTTTCTTGATTTCCTCCTGCTCTAAGCTGACACACTGATATGTTCTCAGTGGGATTCCTCACCAGATTTTACAGGCCAGGGATGAAGATGCACACAGTGCACAGTCAGTTCAACTCTTCATAAATCATTTCAGACTCTCAAAACAGGCCACCTCATTAAAACTTATTTAAACCCGACTGCCTCGGAGGTTTTCGGTTTGACAGAGAAGGAAGCACGTAAGCGTTTTATTGTTTGCCGCCGTTCTTTTGTCACTGTGTGCTTTATGCTCATTATGTTGTCGCTGCTGGGTGAGTGCCACACTCCTGCAGACAACAACTTGTGCAGCTGTGAAAAATAATGCTCTGATGCTAGTTTTTACCTAGTGTTGTTCTGGAGTTTTATAGTGGTTGAAGGAGGGCCACAAGATCCACGGAGCTCAAGCTGTGAGAGACAACAACCCTAAAACGGTTTAAATCAAATTTTAAAAAACAAACAATAGTTAAAGAGAATGGGGGGGCGGGGTAATTTTAATTGATGGAAATAAGCCATTGATCTGGAAGTAGAGGAAAAGCTCTGAATGCTGGGATTCTGCATAGACTTTTACCTTTGAGATTGTGACTAATGGCTATTGATTTTGTTAATGCAGGTGGCTTTAAGTTGAGGAAGTATGAAAGTCAGAGTCTTCATGTTAATAATTCAATCACAGCAATTATATAGAGCCATGAAACGCATGGATAAACAACCTGCTTACTGTAAACATGAAACTGATGGTAAAGCATGTGATCTACTCCAGAAATCTGGTTGGTTAATGATGATCCACAGATTACCTTCAGTTATATCTTGCAGACAAAACACTTTTAGATGTTGTTTCAGTGTTATAGTGGAAAGGAAATAAGAATCCCTCAAAATATAAACCAGGAGCTTACAAACAACCTAACATTTAGATCAACTAGTGAGTGTTTCTATTTGTTGATCATCTACTTTACTTTACTTTTACTAAATTTTCAAATGAAAAATGATGACAATCCCCTAACCTTTAAACGGCTGCTTTGAATTCACATGTGCTTTAATTAGACGCCATATCAATAAATCCCATCTGCACACAATAGTTAAACTTTTTATCAACAAATCTGGGGTCAAAAACCTCAGTTTGTCTCAAATCTATAGCTAAAAGATGGTCACTGAGTTCCAGCTCTTTTTTTGTATATTCTGTTTGGCCCGTGCTTCAGCCCCTGTTTGCTGCAAACAATACAGATTTTAGTAGATCTAAAACTTTAAATAGAAACAAACCACAATAAAGACTGGAAGACTTTTAAAATGACTGTTAAATCTGTCCAAACCATAACCATTTTTCATATTTAAAATTTAATAAACAATCACAATGCAGATGCAATCTACATTTATTTTAGTGTTTTAAGGCAAATTAAAAGTTATTATTTATTATTATTTATTTTTAAGGTTTCAATCTGATTTTACATTAACGAAGTTAATGTAAAATCAGATTGTATTTTGGACTCAAAATGAAATAAGACCAAATTAAAGACATGTTTAAAATATTGGCTCTTGGAAAAGTAGAGTTGCACTCAATAGTTCAGACCTCATCTTTTATTTGTCGGAGAATGTTTTTATGTTTGGATTCATCACCAACATTGTTAGACATTACAAATAAGCCTCTCATAATGCATTCAGCAAAGCTGCAGAATGTGTTCTCATCCAGAATTAAAAGAATATCACATACCAGCATATCATTGTTGATTAGTTAATGATAATTGCTTGTTTTTGGGGTTCCTAATTGATACAGTAAACAATGCAGTAATTAAAGTGTTACAAGTTTGGCTAGAAGGACGCTACACTTTCAGGTCTATCATTTGTGCTGGGCTGCAAACGGCTAGAAAATCTCCTGTTTTCTAGCTTTGTTAAGGCAGAGCAGAAGAGGGTGATAGGTGTTGTTTGGTCGGCTCGGTGGCAGGGTAGTGTCTCATTACCAGGCTAACATCCAGCTCACTCGGTGCTCTTCACACTCGATGGCCTCCTCATTTCCTTCTACCACTAACAAACTGTATCTGTGTGTCTGTTATGCAGAAGCTGTTTGTCGTCACGGGACCCTTACTGCATTTGGCTCAAGTCAGGCAGCTGTGTCACGGTCTCACCAGGACTTAAGTAAGTCACACACACAAGCACACAGTTGGTGCTAATGGCTGTTTCATACTTGTAACATGGGAGGGCAATGCAATCATCAGGTGATGATTGACTCTCTTAGCTGTCAAGACTGCATTACTTTAAAGTGCATGTCCAAGCCTGTCCAAGTAACGTAGCTGTAAGTGGTGCAAAGCAGTGCTGATAAAGTACATTATCAGCTAATGCAGATTGAAAGACTTTTGTTCCAAACATTTAAAGAGGGTCATCTTAGAATTCTTAAACTAGTTCCAATTAACCCTGTTAGCTTTAATTCAGACATTGTTCACATAAGTGTAGAAGAAGTTTAAAATTCTTTGCTAATCTTTCAAAATGTGTTCTCTGGGGGATGTGTGCAACAATATTAAGGGATTTAGACTACACTACATGTTTAGATCCAGGCTAAAAACTGTGAGAAGTGTATTATGCTTTTAAATTCATTATTATTAGAGGTGAATTTTTATTGTTTTTAGTGGACTGAATGACAATTCAAAAGGATAAAAAAAGAGAAAAACCATATGATGCACTTAGTACCATCAGTGGTTATTGTTGTCCTTTTGTAAAGTTAATATTAGAGCCTTAAAAATGCAGCTTTTATTGAAATGATAGAGGGTTTTAAAGATTCAACCCTTCAAAGTTTTGTTACTGATAAATTTTTCAGCAGTAATTTTCTGCATGACATGATTTATTGCCTTTAATAATAAATGTCTGAAATCAAAAATTGGCAGATTTGCTCCTTAATCAAGCACCCAAGCAGAATGTTGCTGTGGTTAATTATTTTCTGGCCTGAGTGTTAATAAGCGTTAGCTCAGTCTCTGAGGTGTTTGCTTGGTCTGAAAACACACCCAGCCACATAAAGACATTATTAGTTTGGTAACTTGAAGCATCAAAGGGCAAATTTGCAACTTGGGCAATGATGTGCAGAAAAGCAAACGCAGACACAATAAATTTGACTTCCCTGATGAGTTACCCTGCATTGCACAGATGCCCATTAAATCTGGTTTGAAGACATGCTTTAAATAATCGATAGCTAATCTTGAATTGGACAAGTGGGCAGCATCAACATAATGAATATTTAAATACCACTCTGAACAGAGATCTGGTCTATCTAGAGTGACTTTCTGCATGATTCCTGTTTGTTGACAAGAGGTTGCTGTATATGATGTGTGTGAAGGTGAAGATTTAGCACACATGTTGCTGTTTCTATAAAGAAACTCTTGTAAACAAGCATCTAAACCTCTGAGAAGGTTGAGCAGCTGCAGGACACGAAGAGCTAAAGGAATGAGTTAGCACTGATGTTAGATTAGCACAACAAAGCTGAGCATTTCAAATAACCCATCATGACATTTACAGGGAGCCTTTTGTGCTATTTATACCTTTAATGTCAGGTGCGTCACAATCCTGTTCATTGTTTTCATACCAAGCTGCTGATTAGCATTCAGAGAGAAAAAAAAAACACTTTGTTGAAAGTATATAAATGATAGATGTAATTTCTTTGGTTTCACATTTTATCTCTCATGGGTTAAAAACTATAGCTCTGACTGTTTCAACACATAAAGAGGACAATCAGCCGTGCATACACAAACAATTGCTCATACCTATAGGCAATTTAGAGAGACTAATTAACCCGACATGCATGTTTTGGGACTGCTGGAGAAGGCTGGAGTGCCTAAATAGAACCCATCCATGCACAGGGAGAGCATGCCAACTCCATCCAAGGAGGCCTGGCTGAGCTTCAAACCCATGTTTTTTTTTTTTTTTTTGCTGTAAGGCAGCAGAGCTATAAACTGTTCCACTTTGCAGCCACCTGAACAAATTTGGAAATTAGCGATTAAAAAAATGCTAACATAAAATACTAGTAATAACTTATATATAAGTGTAGCATTTATGCTTTTACTGCAACCTGTGTTAAACATACAGGAAGAAGTAGCCAACCTTCTCTCAGCTGGTATTTGACTCTTTGTTCCACTGAGTTTTATCAGAGTTCATGATTTCTTTGCCATGTCACGGATGTGATGTTGCATAACTCACTGATAATGTAGCATGGATTTTCTGATTTAGACATGAAATATTTTTCAGTTTGACACCTATTCAGGAGTCTTTGCCCACAATTTAACCCATTTTTTTGTTACCATGACCTGGATGACTGAGAAATTGCACCAGCATATATAATAAATGATAGTATTACTGTTCATATTCAGAAAGTACCTATGCAACTAAATCTTTCCCTGCCTAACTACCATTTCTTTATGTTTTTCAAATCTGTTCCATAAAGTAAAAAGTGTGTTGTAGCTGCATTTGTTTTAGTTGCACAGCAGTGTGCTGCCAGGTCTAACAAAATAGGAATGGAAGATGGATGGGTGGTCGGGTCGACAGATGGGTGCACTAAAGGGTGGAGGAAGGGGGCAGTTAAAAGTGCTATTTTCTTGTCCTGATCGTCAAGGTCTGTGTATGCCCGTGTTGTTGATGTACAACCTCCTGCTAAATTACCACACTGGATGTTTTTCCTATCTTTCCTCCTGTGTGTGGCGGTTGTAAACTGTTGCTGCCCACTGATATGACTCTGCATGTATCACTATCACACACAGAGTCGAAGTAGGAGAGCGTCATATTCACCGTCATCCAGTTTCCAATAGATTATCTTGAAGGCTGAAAATGCTTCGACCTGGAATTATTGCATGTCTTCTGCTTGGCCACTCCGATATATTACTTTCTCTGCCCTCACATGGAAAGGGGCTAATGGATTTTCTTTTCCACCGAATGTTTTCCTGTGCTCTCTGATATTGTTGCTTTTGAAATGAACTAATATATTTGGTCTTTTGCCATTATTAATACTGTTGAGAATGGGAATAGAAACCAAACTAAGAATGCTTTGATAATATTATTGGTCAATATCTGATACATGTATATTAATTCACCTGATAATATTTTTTTTATTTATTACCACCCATAAGGCCCCATGTAACAGCATGTCTAGCTTGTTTCTATCGCCCCATAAGAACATAAAGTTTATGAGAACCAAACGCCTCCCAACACAAACATCAATGTTATTTTTCAAAACTTGGAACAACTATTGCTTAGTCTCTCATTGCTCTTTCATTTTATTTTTCTAAGCCTCTTTCATTGCACTATTCACGATTTAAAGTCCCACAATGTCCCATCTATAATTTGCGTTTTTGGTGTGATTAATAGCCCTGTAATCACAGATTTCTACTGAGCTGTCATTCTACAACTGTTACTCTCCATTAAGAATAGCCCAATCAAAGAAATCATTGTTTTCATTGTGTAAATGACACCGTCTTTTTAGTGCTGACAGAGAACAAAAGCAGATAATGCTGTTATTTTGAGCACTCCACACCAAACTAATGCAAGAATATGTGTTAATGGAGACATGTAGAAAATGAAGACCTACCTGCTTCTCTTTAATCAGCAGAGAATGGGAAGATGAGGCAAGTCAGGTGGTTTAATAGTAAAAACTGAAAACCATTTTATAGAAACACTACATTGCTTTGACCCAAGTATATAATCTGAGATTTGAGTTCTTTTAGGTCAATATAAAGCACTTGCCCCATGTCAATGCCCTTTTGGTAGACTTAATCAAATCTGTGTCGTGTTTTGCATGAAATTCAGGCTCTTTTTAGGTCTAAATAAATTACATTGCCTTGCTTCTACTCAGCCTGATACCTTATTGGCTCCTCATTAAGGAAGCTTCTTTCTACAGTACTTCTATCCTGGTTTATTTATGAATTATGTTCAGTTTAAAATAGGTGAAAAGAAACTTACTAATTGGCATTTTGTTGTTCAAAATCTTCTTTCAAACACAACAAAAAGAGTAGATGCCAAACAATGACCTACTGTAGGCAAACTATCGCTTCTGGCTTTTTTATGGAAAAAGCCAAGTCAAATAGAATGGAATAGAATTTAACTTTATAATCATTACACTTTCACAAGTACAAAGCTACTAAATGTAGTTTGCAAATGTTTCTATCCAGAGAGTGAAGTAACTAATCTGATTTTTTTTTATCAATGTCAAAATTCTTGAATATATGGGCATAGCACTATATTCTACTACTGATTAATTAGTGAAATAGGTTTTGGGTTTTAGGTCTTTGTTTTAAGGAGATACTTCTGGCTCAACTGAAGACCTTTGTAACTGTTGCTGGACCATCCTCTGAGGTGCAGCAAGAAGTGCTAGAGATGTAAAAACAAAAGTGCCGATGTGGCTTCACCCTAGAAGGCCCCGCAGAGTTACGTGCTGAAGTTTGATTTATGAGCCACATTTAATATGCAAGACAAAGCCACACTGGAAACCAGTGGACCAAAACCTTAAAGAGATCAGCCAAAAGAATCCCGTCCAAACACAACATTATAAGAATCATTCCAGAAAACTAGAAAGAGAGCACTATGCACAGAAAGAAGGCTTCATGAAAGGGAAAAAAAAGCTAAGGTATGGGCAAAGTTGAGGAGTTGAGCAGAAGAGGTAAAGATATTAATATTTTATCAAAGGAAAAGGAGGAAAATAGTGAAGCGCCAAGGTGTCAAGAAAAGGGGGAGTAAGAACAGCTGTTTTTTATTTTGGATTTCTAGCTTTTAAGAGAGAAAAATCAGTCTCCTGCAGCTGAATGTGGTACTTTAAAATAAAATTCGATTTCAGACTTCCTTGAAGGGATATATTTTATTTTTATCACTTTAACGAGGATAAGCTAGTAAGAAAGGAGAAAAAGAAGGATGAGCTGATGTGAATCAGGCAGCAGCAAAGCCCACAGTTGAATTTGAAGAATCTCAGTCATCTACCTCCTGGTACTCACTCTTTTCATGGACCATCAGTCCTTTTTTTCTTGGCTCCCCTCCTATCTAGCAAAGGCATACATTTTATTGGCTGATTTGCAGTGGCTCACAATGACAAAAGAAGAATGAACATAAAGAGTGAAAGATTGTGGCTGAACATGTCTACTTTCCTTTTCTTCCTTGTCCCCATTACCAAG